CCCGTCGCCGCGTTCCAGAGCTTGACGGTTTTGTCGTTAGAGGCCGACGCGAGCCTTTGGCCGTCGGGCGAGAATGCGACAGAGTCGACCGAGTCGCTATGCCCTTGGAGCGTTTGCAGGCACGCGCCCGTCGCCGCGTCCCAGAGCTTAACGGTTTCGTCGCTAGAGGCCGACGCGAGCCTCTGGCCGTCGGGCGAGAATGCGACAGAGTTGACCAAGTTGCTGTGCCCTTCGAGCGTTTGCAGGCACGCATTCCAATCCAAATCCACTGGTGATAGTAATGAAACGCAGGTAGGAAATTTGATAAACCATAGTGTCCGAATTACACTCCTTTTTGGCGCAAATAGAAGAGCTGAGTGGTAGATTTGAGGAGGCGATAAATCGATAACAGTAGCATTAGCTAAAAGAAAACGCTGCAAGTCATGAAGCAACGTTGATATTGCGGTGCTGTTCTTCGGCTAAAGTTTTGTTAATAAGCTTTTAATACTAATTTAAAATGGTAGAGATACTTACCTCGAGCATATCTAGTAAACAGTTTGCCATGTTAAAACTTTCCCGGATTCGCCCCGTTACGCCTAAAGCTTCAAGCCAGTACAGGAGACGATCGGTTAGAAAGAGGTGGACGGGATCACCATCTCGTATCTGCCGCTTGCTCTCCTTCCAGTGATGAACCCAGTATCGACAGGCATACTGGACCTCGGGTGGCAGGCGGTTATCGATGATCCCCGGCTCAATCTCGGACCGGAGTGTGCCGGGATGGCGCAGATCGCAAACATCTCTTTTGAGGGTGTCGCCGGTTGACAGCAATTGGAGGCAGCGGTCTGCCAGCTGCCTATGGGGTTTTCGCGAGTCGACCCAGAAGGGGTTCGCATCGCGATTCTTTTGGTCGACGAGGAAGTCGCGAAAGGACAGGTGGAGCAGTTTGACAGGGACCAGGGGGTCATCCGGAATGTTAAGGACAGAATGCAACTGGAGCAGCTTTGAGCCCACGTCGAGCTGGGTTCTGTTAAGGATACGTGCCAGCGATGCGCAAGGGAGGGGGTCGGCAAGAAGTACAATAGTTCCAACGATATCGCGGAACCACGCAACGACAACGGCTTGTTCCTTCTTTGTGCGTTTAACCAACCCTGAATTTTTGCGTTCGAAAAGAAGCTGGTCCAGGATTGGTAGATACGTCGCGTGAAGCTGAGACCATTCGCCCTTTCCCTTGTACTCGAGGATCTTGTCTAGCTGCTCCATAGGATTGCCGTAGTGGATATCGGCAATGAAGCGGCAAGCGGTTGATGCGAAGATGAAAAGCGGCACAGCCATGTTGACGAGATCCTCAAGATTGGCGGGTGGGGGCCAATCAGATGGCAAACCTGGTGCTGGTACGGTTTCATTAAAATCCTGACGGATATGCTCTAGTTCTGAGCGTAGAAATGTGGAGATGTCCCTTTTTATGTCGGGCTTAGGAACCTCATGGAGGGCCAGGTTCTGGTAGTTGTCGCCGATTTTCTTAAAGCCAAGGCGGATGGGCAGCTCGGGTCTGCTGGTGACGAAGAATCGGAGACGGAATAACGTAATCTCCTTAGCTCTGGAGAAAAGATTTATGAGAGCTCTAACATCCTCTTTGCCATCGCATTCGTCAAGCGCATCCACCACCACAGCGAGCCGCGGGGAGCCGGCAACCTTGCACTTGTTCAGTGGCTCCAGGAAGAGCCTCTCGAACTGCTCTTTCTTGTTCTTATCGACGATGGTTGGGTCGTCCTCGATTGCGCTTTGGACATGTGATGCTAAAACCGGCACCTGATGGACGAGCTGGGCGAGTATGGTGGTGAAGAACATGGCCGCGTTGCCGCGGTCGCCCTCGCCTTTCTTAAAGAAAAAGCTCCCACAGGGCACTTTTTCCGCAGCAAGCTTTTTGGCCACCGTTCGAGAGATGGTCGACTTGCCGGTGCCGGCCATGCCGCGCAGCCAGAAAATGCATTTTCCGTTGGGATCCTCGAACCATTTGTAAATGTCGGCGAGAAGGTCCACACGGGTATCGGGGTGGCAGCTGGGGTCGTGTTCGTTCGCCTGGGCATCGAATGCAGCGCCTTTCGCGACAGGGAGCTTTGAAAGGTCGATTTTGCGGTGGATGTCGAGGGTGAGCGTTCTGTTGCCCGAAATTAGCTGCGTAATAGAGGCTTGTAGGTGGGGTGACGAACATCTGGTCCACTTGAAGTGCGGCGGATATCGCGTCCCGCTTTTGCCGGAGGTCGCTGATGATTTTCTCGACCTCTTTGCTTTCGAACGGCCATTTCAAGGCGCGCAGACCCACGCGTCTCATAGCACGATGTCTACGGCCATTCAGTTTCCCATCTAGCCTCGTGTGAATGGGATCGAGCTGCGAGCGGGCGTTCGCAAGGGCGCTGCGCAGGTTTTGCGCAGTCTCAAGTCGAGACCCATCTGGGCCTTGCAAAAGCCGCTGCGCACCTTCGGCGATTGCCTTCAAATCCTCTGTTTGCTGTCGAAAGCTGTCGATGTCGTCTTTGGCTTTTCTGACATCGCGAGAGTACTGAAGGCAGAGTGCGACGACCTTTGCGGCAAGTTCGACCACCGCGATGGCGCTTGCTGCTGCTCCCAAAGCCTCCATCGCACGATAAGCCGGTAGCACTTACGGAATGAGAATGAAAAGTCAGCAATCAGCCGATATGGGGCGGATGGATGTCGTGGCCAAGATGTCGACAAGCGGCTGTCGAGAATTTGGAAGGCGCATCGTTAGGTCGCGAAGGGAGGGGTTAGGCTTCAATGCAACGGCCGACTTGCACAGCCCCAAAACGGCAGCGAGGCGGTGCGCAGCCACACCTGCATCTCTGATTGATAGCCTATGGAATGGCCGGGCTTTCGTCGGCGCGGCGCTGAGGCTGTGAACAACCAAAAGTAAACAGGGAACCAAGGGTAGGCAGGACCCTGCGGGCACTCCCTGTCCACAGCCGTTTTGGGCGTCGCAGCACAGCATGTGGGCCCAGCGGTTCAGGGCTCCCTGTTCCATACCCGACGCGTCGCGCGTATCTGCTCCTCGCCTCGTTGTTTTTGCGCAGTTTCTCCCGCGTGCACAGTATTTTGGTCCGTAAACCTTTTTGGCCCCTGTCCGACCTGGCCCTGCGGGTGGCGCGGTTGCATTCTTGCATCACAACCACGTTTGCGTCGTCTTACATTCGCGACTCTGCGATCAACCGCTTTGCTTTGACGGCACGCGCCTCCGTTTATTGCCACGCCGGGCTATACGTATGTATAAGTGGCATCGCACGCGCAAGGTTTTCGCGGGCTCTGTTTCGCCAGCGTGACCGTAACGGCCTATGGGACCTGCACCATGTTGGCAAACCGCGCAGCCTGTCGTTCGGTGCGCGACATACTAGGCCCTCCAGTCCCTAAGTTTTCTTTTTTGGCCGGGCCTAAATGGAAGGCCATTGCGGCCTCCGCCCGGTCCTTACTTTACTCTAACACATTGCCGGCCGATTGCGTTTCTCTACCACCCGCGGCGCTTATTGCGCCGCCCGCTGCGCTTACAGCGCCCTGGCGATCTCTCGCCCTTTCGCCGATTGCCCGCTCACCAACAAGGAGCGCCGGAATGCGGCCCGAACTCCGTATGCCTTGGGCTTGCCCCGTGGTTTGGTTTGTTAGCCGCCTCAATAGCAACATGTAGCCTAGTGTTAAGTTTAGGTAGTGTCAGCTGCAAGGCATTCTGGATCAGCCGCAGGGCATTCTTTCTAAAGCATCCACAGGGCTTGCGTGCCATAAGGGCAGCCTGTGGCACAGAATTTCGAGAGCAGGACGGGGGAATACAGAAAAATCTTGGTGCTGAAAAAGTGTGACAGTGCACGCTCTGCCCTGTGCGTGCACGGCCACCCTTATCGCCCTTATCGGACGGGGCCTCCCCGCTCTTTGCACTGCCCCACGGGCCATAAAACAGCGGGTCTGCCTATCTAATCTGTCTGCAAAGGGCTAAGGCCCGTAACAAAATCGGTCCAGTCGTTTTTATTCTCACAAAACTCCGCAACAGCATCCACTATATCTGCGTCTAAAATATCCCTCGGCCCTACATCTGCTTCAGCTTCAACATAAACCATCCACTCCTCTTCCACTAATTTCATACCGATAATTTTATTGTATAAAAGTTTTCCGGGTAGGGGACCCGGTGGCAAGTACTGAATTCCCTTCATATCTTTTAACCGCCAGAAGTGCTCCCAGCCGACGCACGCCCGAAGGAAATCTGTAAAGCACCTCTCATTTTTTAGGTCTCTTGCCTTCTGCCAGATAGGAGAAGCAAAGCCGATAATAAATCGTGGCGAGTTCCCGTCTTCTCCGCCCATATAAACGTTTTTAACGACTATATTTGGGCTTCTTCCTGACAGGTCTTGAAGCGTTGTCATGCATATATTCCCCCCTCTATGGTTCTCGCTCGGGAGCCATGCCTTAGCTGTTGGGCGGCAGGCAGGATACTGCAAGTTAGAAATATTCGGGAGTGCCTTCCCACCCACAGAGAGGTGGATATGGATACTCCCACCATTCGCGTCCACTGTGGATTCCGAGCCGTCGGAGCTGATGGAGCTGATTTCGTCAATGTCATCGTTGGTGCCGTCATCTTTAGGGTCAGGTGCAAGCCTCGGCTTCTTGGTGGCCCCATAGTTTTTAACGCCCTGCCCACCAGGAGCCCTAGGATGCTTGGCCGGGCGCAATTGAGAGGGGTTAAAAGGCAGGCAGAACTCTTTGGTGGGATCGAGGACACCATCGTTGGGGTTGAAATATGGGTTATTGGGCTTGGTAACTGCTACGCTCAATGGCTGGCTGTTTTCGGACGCCATCGTGGAGCTTAATGCTGTGACTGTCGGGAAGTGTTGGTGGTTGGCAGGTGCTTTGGCCCCATATGCGGGTAAGGTTGGAGGAACTGCAAGCAGGAGAAGGGCGAGGAGCCCTAAATACAAATTTTGGAAAGAATGGACACGCTTACCCGCGCCTCCTGCTCAGTTATTAACCACAAGCAGCCTAAGCCAGACATCCTGCCCACCCCTGCGAGACACCTTACCTTATCAGTGACTCCTTCGTAGAGTTAGGGGCATAAATGATGTTGCTCGGGTGACCAGGGTGTGGAGAGAATGGCGTTATCTAGTTGGCCAAAGTTAACGGCAAGGCACTTTTGTAATGCCTGTCCCTCGGCCATTATTTAGCTTTATACCTATAGGAAATAGCAGGCAGCCTTGCGGTTGGCAATATTATGCGTACATTTAGCCGGGCTTTCGACGATAAAAGGCAATTTAAATTACAGGCAAATTAGGATCAGAAATCTGGCGAAACAGCTGTGTAAGCAAATTTAAGCTGTCCTTATTTCTCGATCGCGAAAGCCACTCGTTTAATAGTAGAAGCCCATATTCCCTTTTATCCAATTTCATTGGTTCCACAAATCACCGTTAACCGAGCCGAGTTTCGTTCTTTTGGCAGGGCTTGGGTCCGACCTTCTCCTCTGCAGTGTTCCGGGCACCGCTCCTGGACTAGGCGTCCCAAATTCCAGAAAAGCTGTGCCATATTATATTAACGGCCCAGGTAAATCGGCCGTATATTTATCGGTGTCCAGGTGTTACGGATCACCTTCACAAAGGAGGCAGGGCTGCAATATAGCGAAGGTTGATTTGACTATCTAGAAGTGAGGAATATAAGGAGCGGATTGGTGCATTGCACCGGAGCCTTCGTGGAGGGTTTTCACCCCGGCGGCCGAGCACGGGCCTTCCAGGCACGGGCCACGGCCCACAGGGATAGCCCCCGTGGCTCAGCGACTCCCAAGGCGCCACACCACCACACCAGGGTATATCTATTTATGTATTTTACTTTTCCACCTAATAATGTATATTAATGCCCTTTGTGTATTACAATTATTACACTTTGCCCATTCACTATTTGGTAGGGCTAGCTAACTAAAACCTAGCAACCCTACCAATAGATACGGCTTTGCTCCTTAAGCAACCTTTGCCAGGCGGGCATTTGGGTCGCCTAGCCTTGCTGGCTGCCCTCCAAGCGTGTGACTCACCCGGCCTACGCCGCATTTAGCACCATCCCCTACACTACGGCCGTTTCGGGCGGTGCCGGGCATTTTTTGCATTCGAAAACCAGGATGCTAGTCTTCAAGCGGCTTTTGCCAAACGCTCGTCGCGGCTGTTATGGAGTGGCGGGCCCTCTCGGGCCTCTATCCATTTCTGCAGCGTCATACTGCCTGCCCGCCGTGGGCAAAACTCTGGAGATCGGATCCGGTGCAACGCACCGATCCTTCCTTCGTACTCTTTAACTTTTGATAGTCAAATCCACGATATTCTATTGCAGCCCTGCCTCTCTGATATCGGGGTTCCCTAACACTAGGGAGGCTAGAGTGAGGCAGCACTCGCTACAGACGTTAAATATATCTAACCTAACCTAACCTAGCCTGGTAAAAGATATCAGGAAACAATGCGACATGAAAAACAAAAGTGAAAAACATAAGAAGGAAGCGAGTTAAAACATAGAAACTTGTGAGCAAACATGTAATAGCTTCAACTATTAACTGAAAGCATTACGAACCATAAGTTACAAAAAGCATACCGGCTTGTAAAGCACCTTACCGCAATAAATAACTACAAAACGATTCCGCTGAAAACAAGCATGGATCTGATAAATTCGTACGGGGGAATTCCCCTAAAAGCCAAATTTGCGCTTTAAAATATCGTCGGCGTGGTCGGCTATTGCTGCTTCCCGCCTCGCCTCGTTTAGCAGCTCCTCAGCTGTTTTTAGTGTAATGGGAGTTTCGCATCCGAGGCCGATAAACTTGCCAATCCTGCGCCGCTTCTCTTCTATCGGCAGCTTCGACCCCCATTGCACAGGGTGTGGATACTGGCTGGTCCAAAAAGATAGCGTACGCTGGTGGTAAAAGTGCGCCAGAGATTCGAGTTGGTCGTCGGTAAGGAGCCAGTAGTTAAGTAATGTCATGGGGAAGGCCGGGTGGATGTGGCCTGTCGTTATCTGCACCAGCGGCGTTAGTGGTATTGCCATTTGCTTTAGCTTTCTCTCCAGCTCTGGGTTATATGCTGCGCGCTGCTCTGAAATGGTGCAAGGGGATGTCGTCCCGTGCGGCGGAAGCTGCAGATCCACAGGTGACGACTGGCTATGCTTCCGTTGATGCTTTGAGGACTTGCGCCGGCGCTGTTTATCACCTCGACGGTGATGCATGTTTGGTAAACAGGTATTAAGCAGGGTTTATTTTTTTATATTTGGTCTTTTGTTCCTATCCTGACTATAAAAACACGCCAAAAAGTTAAGGTTTTGGGGTTTTAAATAGTTTTTGCAGGTAAGGAAGGTAAAAATAGGAATGTGTATAAAAAGTCGGAGGGAATAAAATTCGCTGCTGGGCAGCAGGTTCGCGTTAAATTATAAAGGCATTTTCTTTGATCTTCACATGAACGCCTGTTATGGTACAGCACTGCTAGTGGCAGTTAGTGGAGTTTGTCATGGCCATGGTCGAAGACTATAACACAGTCAATTGGCGCTACGAACGAAGATTCTAATCTAGGGGAGAAAGGAAGGAAAGAGGGGATTCCGGTGTTCGGCGTGTGTTCAGCGCGCCTTGATCATGGTTCCTCGTGTGGGTCCTCGTCTGTGGGTCAAGGCCTGCGGGCCTTGACCCAGATCGTCACATTTAGCTTAGGTAGCGCTAGCACGTCGTATGCCCCTCGGGAGGCAGGGACTGGTAGATCCCGACTTACCGACGTTAAATATACTCCTCCTCCTCTCCACTGTCTTATCTGACAGGTTGAGGCCGGTTGATGCTAATTTTGGTGGTTCAACCGATCAACCGGTAGAGCCTACAAACACGGCATAAAATAATAGTTATGCCAACGGTTTAACAATGGGGTGCCCTGTGATTTTCGCACACCCTAGGCAATAAAAGAGGTTCAGGCCTATTTTTTGGAACCCAAAGGCTTTTATATCGTCCGTAGAAGTAACCTCCGTCCATTTTGCGCACCGCAGGCAGGCCACCCTTAGCACCACAGTGGGACTTGTATAACTGCCTGGCATTGGCGAATTGCGGCGGTGTTACTAGTATGTAGGAGAATTTTTAATATACGAGATCAAATGAGGCGCAAGCAGAGCAAAACACACATATGTTGGTTGGGTAGCGTTGGTGGCGTGGTTAGAGTAGCTCGAGCATATCTACTTGTAATAAACGAAGTTTGGTGTTTAAGAGGTCACAATTTAAAGGTTCTATTGGAATGAGCCATTAAGACCACGCTGCTGGAAAACGAATATCAATTGTGGTAATGTTTCAATATCCGGTTTAGTTGTAAGGTGTACCTTAACTTCTGGCTTTAAGCCCTGGTTACAAGGGGTGGTGTGCGACAACGAGTCAAGTTGTGAAAGCCTAGACAGGCGAATAAAACGACAGCCCTGGAGTTATGGGGTATAATATAAAAAGGGATAGTTGAATTTTTTAAATTTGAACGTTTGGTTTTAGGTGTGCTGCAGATTTAAAAGATATACAAAATGATGTTAACACTTTTACTTTTCTGCATGATAGCATTAAGTCATGGGGGTCCTGGGAATGATACCTCTCATGTATACCACAATGCAGCCTATTTTGTAAACTGGTATTATAATACATCCCTTTAAAATAGCAGCATTGGTAGTACTAACTTGTTCAAATAGGGCGATTTACTCCAGGAACTACCAGCCACACAACCTACCTGCCGCCAACCTGAATCGAATACTATACGCGTTTTTAAATATAAAAGCCAATGGTGAAGTTTATTCTTGGGATACATACGCCGACCTCGAAAAACATTATCCTACTGATTCGTGGAACGAACCGGGGCATAATGCATATGGCTGTGTCAAGCAACTTTACCTTTTGAAAAAATCACACCGCCATTTAAAGGTTATTCTTAGTATCGGCGGCTGGACCTGGTCATCGAATTTTGCATCAGCCGCGGCCACTGCAGCAAGTAGAGAGCGATTTGCCAACTCAGCCGTGAAAATTATGAGCGATTGGGGTTTTGATGGCATCGACATCGATTGGGAATACCCTGCGGACCAGACCCAGGCAGCCGATTTCGTCCTCCTTCTCCGCACTGTCCGTAACACATTGGACGTATACGCTCAAAAGTTTGCACCTGATTATCATTTCGCCTTATCTATTGCTTCACCCGCCGGGCCAACACATTATAAAAAGCTTAATCTAAAGTCTATGGCGGATACCATTGACTATTTTAACCTTATGGCGTACGATTATGCCGGGTCCTGGGATACAGTGTCCGCACACCAGTCTAATTTGTATTCGAGCGAATCTGCTGCAACGCCATTCTCTACTGCAGCAGCTGTCGAGGACTATCTGCGTGCTGGTGTCCCTGCATCAAAAATCGTGATTGGCATGCCTCTTTATGGGCGAGCCTTTGAAAGCACTAATGGCATTGGCCAGCCATTCAGCGGCGTTGGTGGTGGGTCATGGGAGAACGGCGTGTGGGACTTTAAGGCTTTACCGCGGCCAGGAGCGACGGAAAATGTAGACTTTAAAACGGTAGCATCTTATAGTTACGACCCCAAAATTCGGGAGCTAATCACCTATGACACACCTGAAGTGGTTGAAAAGAAGGTATCGTGGCTAAAATCTATGATGCTTGCTGGCTCCATGTTTTGGGAGGCAAGCAGCGATCGGACGGATGATAAAAGCTTGATAAGGACTAGCTTCACAGCCTTGGGGAGCATGGATACAAGCCCCAATCTGTTAAGTTATCCAAACAGCAAGTTTGCAAATATTGCAGCGGGGATAATTACGTAATATAAAAGGGAGGGCCGGTTGTGGGCAAACACAAATTAATCTCCGCGGGTGCAGGCATGCATTACAGGGCTCACCGGCGTCACCAATCTCCCAAAGGGTTACTGCACTTTTGTGAGCTCCAATACATGCGCCCGTGTATATAAAGCCAAAGAGCCTCCTACCTCAATTTAACTAACCAGAATATGTGGAAGGACTAATTCCTGATCAGAATCTTCTGCTCTTTCTGATGAAGTATTGTTCATTTCGTCAAGTGTGCCCCTTTTTGCTGCAACTTCCCGGATATTCACGAAGGTCTCGTTGGGGTTCGCCTGCACCCTCCTCCTTTTGGCAGGCCGTGCAGCCTCCAATTGAGCCTTCGGATGCCTGATTTTTTGCTGCGCTGTAGCCAATTCAGATTCGCGTATCTCGTAGCCTTTTTGGACCTTTGTCACGGACCGGCACAATGGAACCATGTAATCTACCAAGTAAACCTTAGAATTGAAGATGGAAAGGAAAGAGGGAATCTACAAGACGCGTGTGCACGTGCCCGCACTTAAATGCCAGGCTGTGGGGCACGTGCACGGCTGAGTCAGCCAGACCTCACGCCACGCCATGACACTGCTTTCTGGATATTCTGTGCCACAGGCTGCCCTTATAGCATATGAGCCCTGTAGATGCTTTAGAAAGAATGCCCTGCGGCTGACATGAATGCCTTACGGCTGATCCAGAGTGCCTTGCAGCTGACAGTTGGCCGTTGCATGCTCCGTCGGTGCACGGTTAGGGGGATGTACGGTTAAGGGGTGCACGGACTTAATTACTGCGAATTGTTAGGGATCGACCACGGCAGAGAGACAGGGCTACAATAAACGCGAGGTTGATGTGACTATCTAGAAGTGAGGAATACAAGGAGGGGATTAGTGCATTGCACCGGAGCCCTCGTGGAGGGTTTTCACCCAGGCGGCCGAGCACGGGCCTTGCAGGCACGGGCCACGGCCCACAGGCATAGGCCCCCAGCCACCGTGGCTCAGCGACTCCCAAAGCGTCACGCCACCACACGAATATACCTGACGTTTAAATGTGCAAAATGGAGTTTTTTTTCATATAAGTCAGTGCACCCCATGTCCGCCCACCCAATCCCACCAAAAACCGCCAAAACACACCCTTTTTAAATTGCGATTAAAAATCGAAGAGAAATCGTATAACAATTACGTAAGCTGCATTATATGAGCCGATAGTTAAATTACTTATATAAAATATAATAAAAATACAAAGCTTACGAAATATGGATCTTTAAATTTTTAAATTGCGAAGAGTAAAAATACATACGTTTTACATATAAATAAATTTTTGCGTAAAAGTCCACATTTTATATATAATAAGTATAAGAGAAATATATCATTAAAAAGAGAAAATTTGGCAAAAAAATATGCTGTATTATACGGCTTATAAATAATCTTTTATAATGTTAAAATACTTCCATTAAAGTTATTGCTACCAAATTTTTAATCCAAAATTAAAGATTTAAGTTTTTACCTTTATAAAAAATATTTATATACTATATGATGTATCTGAATTTTTTACGAATTTTTCTTTTTATCATATTGTATTTATTTTATAATTATTATATACAAAAATGTGGACCTTTACCCAAAAAAGCATTTATATGTAAAATGTATGTAATTTTTGTCACGATCAGGGCGAGTAGGCTTCGCTGCCAGGTTCAATTGATGCTATGGACGAAAGACTCTTCTATGGGGAGGGAAAAGGGAAAGAGGCGCGGAGCGCCGAACACGCGATGCAGAAGAAAAGGTGGTGCGGCGTCTTGTCGCACGGGCTGTTCCGCGGCGCGTGCTCACGTGGATCCCTGCGCTGTGCGGTGAACTGCCCTGGGCCGTCACAATTTTACTCTTCGCAATTCAAAAATTCAAAACTCCATATTACGTAAGCTTTGTATTTTTACTATAATTTATATGAAAAAACTAACCATCGGCTCATATAATGTAGCTCATGTAATCTTTAAACGATTTTTCTTCGATTTTTAATAGCAATTTGAAAAGGGTGTGTTTTGGCGGTTTTTGGTGGGGTTGGGTGGGCGGACATGGGGTGCACTGACTTATCCATTTATGGCAGCAGTAAGTAGCACGCAGCGAATAGTGATGTTGGTAAAGTACATAAGAAGCAGGCGTAGTAAATTTAAGCGGGATAGAGCTGTTAATGGCGAAATCGAAAAAGTATGTAAACCGCTAACTTTATATTACGTTCATTTGTGGCTTCAAAGTTTCGTCGCAAGTATATATATTTCATGTCCTTATCGTCTCGAAACTCATTGTTCCAATCCCCTTAACTTACAATGGAAGTCACTGTACGAAAAACATTTTATTCACAGTGGGCGAATCTTGATTCTAGCCCCGAAGAATGTGAGAAATTCCGGCTGGAGGCGAATCAGCGAATAACGGAAAATTGGACAGACTTATATGAACTATTGGATATTGATAAAGAAAAAGATGCCAACCACTGCCGTAAGCAATTGCGTCCGTGGCAAATAGCCTTCCGCACGGATATGAATGGAGGGGGTGATACGCAGATATCCCAATGTAAGTATTTTTGCCGCTTGCAAAATTAAATAACGGTTTCTAACGTCCGCACAGTTCTTATATACATAATGGGTAATGTCTTTAAGGATGATGATACCAAAAGAGAATACGATGCGGTATTACAAAATAAAGGAGCGGCCGAACTACTTCACAATCAGTGGAGGGACATGTATTTTGTGGATGAGTTTCAAGCTATACTCCTGAAATTTACCCCAGACTTCACCGATTTTCTTTCAAATCTTGCCCGAAATCAATCCAAACCATATATTGTACCAACAGGCTTAAATAGGCTTAATGAAAATATAAAGGTGTGGTTTGACAAAGAAAAAATGGACGAAAATGATTTGGACAAATACCAGTTAAACATTGAGTTAGTAGCCAAGCTCTTTTGTGAAGCCTACAATGAACAGAATTCACAAACGAAGACTGAGAAATGGAAGGAGCTAGAGACTGTGATGGAGGCCGGAGAGCACCCCAAAGCGTGGATAGATATCGCGAAAACAAAGTTAGGAATAGGAAAAGCACCCGGCCAACAAAAAGTAGAGAGTCGTGATCAAGATATTCAAACACCGCAAACTAGCACTAGGCCCCGGTTTACTGGTAGGTTCTTCGGAGTTAATCCAGATATACAAATGCTGGAAGCTGAGCATCCATCCCACAAGGGAGGCTTTATTGGTAAAACTAGAAGGTTTTACTTTACTCTTACGAATTACCAAATTGAGTGTAAACGAGAAGGGGTTATATCTGCGAAAGAGTTTAAATTAATGCCTAAGGCCGAAATCCCGGTAATATGCCGCAAAAAGAGTGATTCCAATGAAGCTATTTCTCATGTTATAAGCTACAGTATACAAGGGAATGCGACATATCTAGCAGTTCGGCAGCATTCTGGTGCCATAAGAGTCTATACAAAAACGGGGTTTATTGCGACAGTTGGTACGGAAAACGCCACGGACATGTTATCACGATTGAATATACCTCAAAGAATGTATACTACGCCAGCTGGCCCCGCCATCCCTGGAAGCGGCAATTTTGACATGAGATCTCTGTTGGGAGCTCTCAAGGCTGAAATTCCACTCCTAATCCAACAAGCTATTGAAACACACGCATTAGCACCGAATACATAAAATCAGTCTTCAAAATGTCGTCCCCTGATCCTATATTTTAACGGGATTTATTAAGCGTATCGGATATTTTGAGTCGGTAGGAAATGTTACCGCGCTGTATTCTCCTGTACTTAATCCGCAACATAAAATTCAATTCTTAGTTACTTTTACCCAATTCTTAATTTTAATTTGGCTGTGAACCTTCAATTCCTGTTATGTCTGTCGTGTTGTGATGGCGCGGGGTGCCTTGTTGGGCAAACGCAGCCATGTCTTATTTGCACCAAGGCTAGGTTAGGTTAGGTTAAGTCTATTTAACGTCTGTAGCGAATGCTGCCTCACTCTGGCCTCCCTAGGGGCATCAGACGTGCTAGAGACTACCAGATGTTCTAGATACAGGGTCTAGCCCACCGACTGCTGTCACGGTAGCTAGCAAACCAAGCCCATCAGCCGACCAGTGTTGACCTTAAGCACATGCATAACAAGCCGCATCCCGAGGCCCCTGACAGGCGGGCCGGCTTTTGGTGGTAGTGGTATAAGGTGCTTTAAAGCATTGGTAAAGATGGCAGATAAGAAAATGCAGGCCGGCCGCTACGCGGCTATATTAGTACCGGTACGCTTGACCGGATTTGTTAAAAGAGGCACCCCCTGCGGAGCCTCCTAGCTAAACAAAAAGGAATAAATAAAGGAAAGTTAGGCATATATGCCTATTGTGACAGCCCAGGGCAGTTCACCGCACAGCGCAGGGATCCACGTGAGCATGCGCCGCGGAACAGCCCGTGCGACAAGACGCCGCACCACCTTTTCTTCCGCATTGCGTGTTCGGCGCTCCGCGCCTCTTTCCCATTTCCCTCCCCATAGAAGAGTCTTTCGTCCATTGTTAGGGATCACCCTCGCAAAGGAGACAGGGCTGCGATAAAACGAGGGTTGATTTGGCTATCTAGAAGTGAGGAATACAAGGAGGGGATTGGTGCGTTGCACCGGAGCCCTCGTGCAGGGTTTTTCACCCAGGCGGCCAGGCACGGGCCTTACAGGCACGGGCCACGGCTCACAGGCACAGGCCCCCAGCCTCCGTGGCTCAGCGACTCCCAAGGCGCCACGCCACCACATCCATAGTATCAATTGAACCTGGCTGCGAAGCCTACTCGCCCTGATCGTCACACCTATGACCTCTGCAAATCGAGCAAAAAGGCTCGGTGCTGCCAAGAGGCGGTACCAATAAGCCATCCGATCGCGTTCCGGAGGAGGATCAGCCGCCGGCCAGAGATTTCGTTTTGACCATTTCTTTTTGCAAAAGACTGGATGTGAAGGGGATTTGTTGCAGCCGCATTTGCAAGGAAAGTAGTCTGTATGGTTGAATTTGATGTGGTACCATTTGAAGTCTCCGTGTCCCGTCCGGGCGGCGAGAAGACGGTGAAGGAGCCATCTTTGAAGCCGAAGCGCCGGCGGGCATTTTGTCGGTGCGCCTGTCAGCCCCAGAGCTGCGCACCTGGGGGCGACCCCCGTAAGCCACCAGTTTTGGTGCGCTTGCCGCCCCTGTGCCCGCGCTAAGGCCTTGATGCCGGCTATAGACGGGCCGGCACCTATGGGGACCGAGAGAGATGCTCCTTCTTTGGCTTTGGCATCTGCTCGTTCGTTGCCTGTGATCCCTTTGTGTCCAGGTACCTGTCACGGCCATGGTCAAAGACTAGAACACAGTCAATTGGCGCTACGAACGAAGATTCTAATCTAGGGGAGAAAGAAAGGAAAAAGGGGATTCCGGTGTTCGGCGCGCGTTCAGCGCGCCTTGATCATGGTTCCTCGTGTGGGTCCTCGCCTGTGGGTCAAGGCCTGCGGGCCTTGACCCAGATCGTCACAGTACCCAGTGCCGGCGCATTGGATACCCGGTAACAGGATGAGGATTATGTAAAGGATTAGACGGATTACAAACAGGAGTTCGCAAGCCTAACTGCGAACGGACGGCTTGGGGTAAGAGGGATCCAGACCGGATTGATATATAAAAGGCGAACAGTCTCAACAACAAGACTTAGAGGGACAGGCAATAATTTCTGTTTTTTGCAGCTACCCTACAGCCAGCCTACATCCCTTTGTTTGTAAGTCCTCCACTACAGTTTCTAGTGCCTTGACATTGAACCTTTGAACACCCCCGGTACCCTCGTCACAGCCACAGAGGCACGCTTGTTACAATTTAAATTATGTACACAAGCGTGTCCCCTGGTGCACAATTATCCACGGCAAAGCTGAGATTGCCAACTTTAACAACGCTTGAGTCTAGGGATTCTACATCTTTTGCAGGCTTTGCCGTAATTGTTTTAACCCTTGGGCAGCTGCAGTCTGGCGCGCAGCTGTACATCTGCGCTTCGGGCATTGGCCGAGGGACGCGGATATCTTTAAGCGCGCAGTCCAAAGCTGGGAGCGCGTTCCGCTTTCGGGAAATGCTACGCAATTTTTTGGATGTGGCTCGTTTCACTTCGTCGATAAAGGGGCTTAATCCCTGGAGTCGTTGCGATTTCGCTTTCCTCGTTGGCTGGATTCGACGGTCGTTATTTGCGAAAAGAGGCGTAAATTTTTGAGATTGTTGATTATTGTACCATTCCGGTACAATGTTATTTATAAAACGATTCCAATTGTAAACTTTTCCGCGTTTAAGAATTGTCTGACTTTCCATTGCTTTTAAGCGTTTAACTGTTAGCTTGTGTTGATGGTTTCAACGTTTAACTAAATTGTATTTTTAAATCGCGTAAAGGGTTGTTTTTAATTATGCCGTGTTTGTGGATCCCACCAGTTGATCGGTTTATGCATAGTTAAGCCCCATTAAACTGGTTTAATAGCCAACCGGTTTAAGGGGGCTTAACTATGCACAAACCGATTAACCGGTGAGATCCACAAATACGGCATTAGTAGTGACGTTTGCTAACATTTTTTACTTACCTTTTAACGACGTAGCAACACTTGCTTTCAGAAGGGTGAATTTTATTGTTGCAAATCATGGCTCTAGGCATTGAGAGATGCTTAGAGAAGGCAGAGTCTCTCCAGGAGACTGTTAAACTCAGCCAGCCTTATATAGGCTGCTTTGTAGTCCGTGCGAGGTACGTAAGCAGCTCTCGGCGGCCTCGTGTTATAAAGGTGCAAGCCGCCCAATGCGTACACCCTTATCGCTCCAATAGTGACCTCTTGTCTTTAAGGGTCCCCGGATAATGTACCCCTAAAATGGCAGAGAGCAATTTATTCGATCCTAAGCAGCTATATTTTAATTCCCACTCCCCATCCCCATAAGCACTAAAACGTGCGTATTCGAAACCCACACTAAAGCATTATCGCGGGGATTCCCCGCCACCATTTAGCTGCCAAGAAAAACAAAACCCGCACGCCCCGCTATCGCGCAAACATGAGCCATATGATGTGTGACAGCCAAGGGAAGTTGCATGTTGGACAATTCACTCTCTTTTGTCAAAACAAAGGCTCTGCTAGCGCTGCTACCAAGGTTTATTAAGGCTGTTTTTTTATGAGCAGGGCCTTGGCAAGAGTGGAATGCTTGCAACGCAACCTCGTAATCTCCACAATACTAGGATATCCTAGTAAATTTACACCGTTGTTAAGGTACCAGCCAGGGCGAAGAAACTAAGCTACAGCAAACCCTTCTAGATGAATTGGCTACCTAGCACTAGGGAACGAAAAGGAAGAAGTCGTGCGTTGCACGGCTTGGATCGATTGCCCTAAGTTGGTAATTGGGTCGGACCCGCTTGGGGGGTCGCATGGCGACCAGCCACGCTAGGGCGGCGCCATAACAACCGTCACACGGTGCAGAGAGTAAATCGTTGCTAAGGGATTTAACTAGCCGATATAGACGGAAAACCTTTTGCAATCGCCAAAATACGCCAGATTAAAACGACGTGGTCTACTTCGTAAATTGCCATAAAGCAGAGCGGGGCGGAGTAGAGCTATCGCACTAGGATTGATGGAGGGAGTGTTGAATTGGTAAATGAAGGTATATGAAAAGTTATATGCCCATTTCTGGCTTTAGGAATCCCTATCACAATAGATCCCTATAGCAACCACGCTGCCAAGAAAAGCCAAGATGAGAGGGTAAAAAAAGTCGAAAATTGCCGCATAAGCTGCGCTAAACATCGGCGCTATTGTATTGTTACCCCATCATAATCGCTACCCTCAAACAGGCGACAGGGAACATGTTGCCACGCACGACACCCAGTGGGTTTTGCTGAGCGCCCGGTGAGCGAGCAAGTACCTTGCTCCCTGCCCCACCATTCCAACCGAAATTGGCACCCCGGACGGAGTGTGCATCCCCTACAGCGCGCAAACCATCCCTCCCCAGCCCTTTTGGCCGGATTCCACCGCAAGATACTAGCCTCATACAAACACGCCCCCCTTACCCGCGGCCCATTGAAATCTCTGCGGTCAACACCTTTCTTAATCCCTTTTCGAATTTCCATCCTTAAGCGCTAGCCTTCCCCGGACATGCCCGCGGCCCCTTACTTTAAGCAGCTATATCCTGTCCCTCGTTTCTTTCCCTTTTTTTCCAACGTGTAAGCTTGGGTGAGTCCACGCTTCGCACCACCCCGTGCCCATTACACCCCCCACACCCACAGCTTACACCCCCATACACCCACAGCTCACACCCCCACACACCCACAGGTCATGCCCCTATACACCCACAGCTCACACCTACAGGTTACACCCCCATACACCCACAGCTCACACCCACAGCTCACACCCCCCACACCCACAGCTCACACCCCCATACACCTACAGCTTACACCCCCATACACCCACAGGTCACACCCCCATACATCCCATAGCTCACACCCTCGATGTTCGCCCAGAGCCGACCGACGAAGGCGCTGAACGTCCCGGGGAGGACCCGGACACCGTACTCCGCTAGCCTCTTCGCTTGCGCCCTGCCATCACCACAAACACCAGCACTACAAAAGCACCCGCCAAAGATGATAGGAACGACCGGGAAGCAAAACTTATAAAACTGATGTTCGGTGTTACGGCCATGGAATAAAGTCAATTGGCACTACGAACGAAGATTCTAACCTAAAGGAAAAGGGAAGGAAAGAAGGGATTCCGGTATTCGGCATGCGTTCAGTGTGTCTTAATGATCGTCCACCGTGTGGGTCCTGGTTAGTGGGTCGGGGCCTGTGGGCCTTGACCCAGATCGTTACATTCAAAACGACTTGGAGGGAAGGATTCGCATGTTCCGCCCAATTCTTGGCAGAGAAGCAAGGTTGTATGCCAAGGTCGCCAAGGCCCAGGGCCTGTCAATCGAACTGAGGCGTTGAACATGGCTAGGATGGGGGGG